GCAGCAGCGGCTGCCGCAGCAGTTGCTGCTGCTGCTGTTGCTGCTGCTCTTTTTGATGCGGCAGGCTCGAAGCTGCTGCTGTTGCTGCTGCTGCTGCTGCTGCTGCTGCTAGGCGCTGCTGCAGCTGCAGCTCCTTCACTGCACGCGGAGGACCGCTGCAGGGCAGCAATGCCGCCGTAGCCTCTGCAAATACAAGCAGCAGCTGAGCAGCAGCAGCAGCAGCAACAGCAGCAGCAGCAGCAGCAACAGTAGCAGCGACAGCACCAACATCAGCAACAGCAGCAGCAGCAATAGCAACGGCAGCAGCAGCATATATCGACGAAATGTAAATAAAGAGGTGCAGCAAAACCAGCGGCACAACAGAACCTGCAGCAGCAGCAGCAGCAGCAGCAGCAGCAGCAGGCTGCAGCACACACCTGCTGCAGAGAGACTCCTTCTGCTGCTGTCAAGCACAGCAGCAACTTCGCTGTCTTTCCTCCCGTGTCTCCTCTCTCCAGGTGTACGTACACCTCAAATCCATCACCATCATTGCTGCTGCAGCAGCTGCTGCTGCTGCTGCTGCTGCTCTGTAGCGCAGCACGGCAGCAAGCATCGGGGTCCGTCAGGGGGGCCAGCAGCAGCAGCTGCCCCACTCCCTGCTGCTGCTGCTGCTGCTGCTGCTGCAGCTGCAGCTGCTGTTGCTGCGTTGTGATTCGCGCCAACAGGAACTGAGTCTCTGGCTTTAAGGCTGCAAAGACACTCTGCTGCTGCTGCTGCTGCTGCTGCTGCTGCTGCTGATGTGGATACACCCAGAAGGGGGATATAAGCGGCAGCGACAGCATTTGCTGCACTACGCAGCCGCCAACCGATTCAATCCCTGCTGCTTTGCTGCTGCTGCTGCTGCTGCTGCTGATGCATGAGCGCAGCTTCAACGGTATAAAGATCTCCATGGGTTTCTGCTGCTGCTGCTGCTGCTGCTGCTGCTGCTGTGGCTGCAGCTCCAGGAAGGAGACTGATATCATCGGCAGCGCCGGCAGAGCACGAATATGGAGCTGCTGCTGCTGCTGCTGATTTTGCTGCTGCTGCTGCTGATTTTGCTGTTGCTGCTGCTGATTTTGCTGCTGCTGCTGCTGCTGCTGTTGCTGCTGCTGTTGCTGCTGCTCAGCTAGCATGTATGCTGCTGGCAGCAGAGAGTCTGATGACAAACATGTGAGGTGAAATGTGCTGCAGCAGCAGCCACATTCGCTGCTGCTGTTGCTGCTGCTGCTGCTGCTCCTGTTGCAGTTGCTGCAGCAAGGGGGGCCTTTGATTGGATCGCAGGTCGCAGCTTCAGCTTCTGCTGGAGATGTTTGTGCTGCTGCTGCTGCTGCTGCAGGTGGCACAGCAGCAGCAGCAGCAGCTGCTGCTTCTGCTTCTGCTGCTGCTGCTGAGCGGGTCTCCCGAGGAGGAAGCCACAGGGTGCTGCGGAGCTGCCAATGGCTGCAGCAGCAGCAGCAAGGGCTGCTGCTGCTGCTGCTGCTGCTATCATTGCTGTTGCTGCACGCACTACAAGCGCCTGTACCGTGTGCGCAGCAACAGCTGCAGCAGCAAAAGCTGCTGTTGCTGCTGCTGCTGCTGCTGCTTGAGATGCATGCAGCTGGTACAGGTAACACCCACCTGGGGGGCTCCATCGCAGCAGCAGCAGCAACAGCAGCAGCAGCAACAGTTGCTGCAGCACTGGCAGAAGCTAAGAAGTCAAAACCCTTGAGGTCTTCCTTCTGCTGCTGCTGCTGTTGCAGCTACCCTTAAGCTGCTGTCGCAACAGCAGCTGCAGCTGCTGGGTTTGTTCTTAGTTTTGCTGCTGCTGCAGTTGACCCCAATCGTTCCTGCAGCAGCAGCAACAGCAGCAGCAGCAGCAGCTCCTGCTGCTGCTGCTGCCGTTGTTTTTGTTGTCGCTGCTGCTGCTGCTGCTGCAGTGGCTATTGTTTTAGGTTTTTCTGTTGCTGCTGTTATTGTCTGCTGCTCGCTGCTGCTCTAGCCTCATCTGCTGCTGCTGCTGCTGTTCCTGCTGCTGCTGCTGCACACGCTGCAGCTCCTGCAGCAAATGTGATTGCTTATTCGTCTTCCGAGATATGAAGCAGCAGAAGCTGCTGCCGCTTTTCCTGCTGCTACTGCTGCTGCTGCTGCTGCTGCTGCTGCTCGGGATCCACGGGCAGCTATGTCGGCGCCGCTCCCACTCCTTAAGGTTTAGGGTTTGGGGTTTAGGGTTTAGGGTTTGGGGTTTAGGGTTTAGGGTTTAATGGCTTATTACCCAAGGCAGCAATACGCAGAAGTATTTTCTTCCTGCTAACTATCACCTGCTGCCGACAGCAGCAAGTGCTGCTGCTGCTGTTGCTGCTGCTGCTGCTGCTGCTGCTGCTAAGGCACAGTCTAAACCCTTTAGGGGTCTTCCGCTGTAAATATATATTTTTCGTTCTCTAATTTTTTCTTTTTATAACTGCTGTTAGCGCTGCTGCTGCTGCTGCTGCTGCTGCTGCTGCTGCTGCTTGAGGTTGCAGCAGACGATAGGACAGAACATTGCCAGCCAGCGTTGCTGCTGCTGTTGCTGCTGCTGCTCTTGTTACTGCTGCTGCTTTTTCTGTTACTCCAGCGGTTTTTGCTGCTGTTCTTACTGCTGATATTGCTGCTGCTGCTGCTGTTGTTGTTGCTGCTGCTGCTGCGCTGCCTGCTTCTGCAGGGACACCGTCGATTCGCCTCCGTCTGCAGCAGCAGCAGCAGCAGCAGCAGCAGCACAGAGGCAGACGCCGCAAGCTGCTGCTGCACGAGCTCATAGTTGAAACTGGGTGTCGCTGCTGCTGCTGCTGCTGCTGCAACAACGACAGCAGCAGTAGCAACAGCACTCCTAACGGCAGCAGCAGCAGCACTATTAGAAGCATCAGCAGCCGCTCTACGAGCAGCAGCAGCAGTAACACTATTAGCAGCAGCAACAACAGCAAGAGCAGCAGCAGTTGCTGCTGCAGGGTTTGTATACACCCTAGAGGTGCCTATACACCCCAATCGTACGCATGCATTATTTATTAGTATTTATATGCATTATACAGAACAGCAGAAAACAAACAAATAAAATAAAATAAATTAAATTAAATTAAATTAAATTAAACAGAGAGACGCCTCAACACATTAAATACAGCAGCACATTTAAATAAATAAACATAAAAATATATAAATATATATTAATTAATTTAATTAATCTAATTAAATAAATTAAATAAATTAATTAAATAAATTTAATTAATTTAATTAATTAAATGAGAGATTAATAAATTTGAAGCAAACAAATACTAAAATAGAGATGAATAAACAAATGCAATTAAATTAATTAAATTAATTAAATTAATCAAACTAAATTAAACAGTTAATTAATATAATTAATTTAATTAATTATATTAATTAATTAATTATTTAATTTAATAAACAAATTAATTAATTAATTAATTAATTAAATTATTTATTAACTTTT